GGTTGGCTGGTGTCTGTGAGCCTCCCACGCTGCCTGTGCTGGGCGAGGTGGCGATGTTGAAAGAAAGCACTAAGGCGAACGCGTGTGGGTGGGCGGCCGCCTCAGCCGCCTCGGAGTCCTATACGGGCCGCGGCTCTTCCACGTCGGGGTTGGGCGGGCGAACAGAGCAGACGCCCCGCTATACTCTCGGGCTGCTGCAGACGCCGCGCAGCACGGCGGACAGCACTGGTGAAGCCGCCGGTTCCCGGAAGAGGAGGTGGGGTGCGGCGTTGCCGTCTCTGTCCGGGTCTTTATCCCTTTCTTTTATCCTCCTGCCCTCTTTGCTTGGGTCAGGTTTCGAAAGAGTTGTTACAAGCAGTACTTATGCTGAAAGGGGGCAGCAGCATCTCTTCGTCTTAGCGACCTCTTTTTTTCGTTCAGCCCGTCAGAACAAGCCGCCGGTTCCCGGAAGAGGAGGTGGGGTGCGGCGTTGCCGTCTCTGTCCGGGTCTTTATCCCTTTCTTTTATCCTCCTGCCCTCTTTGCTTGGGTCAGGTTTCGAAAGAGTTGTTACAAGCAGTACTTATGCTGAAAGGGGGCAGCAGCATCTCTTCGTCTTAGCGACCTCTTTTTTTCGTTCAGCCCGTCAGAACAATGGTAGTCGTTCCTCACACTTTAAATAAATCTTTATTATTTTCTTTACGTAAGCTTTTTAGGTAGCGGTGTCAGAGTTCCCTGCTGGGGTCAGTAGACTGGTTTGAATTGCAACACAATATTTGTTTTACTAGAGACCTGAACCACATTCAGTTGGTTATGGGTTTTGGTTTTATGTTTGATTTTTTTGTTTGTTTGGTTCGTTTTGGTGGGTTGGTTGGTTTGTTGGTTTGGTTTGGTTTGGTTTTTTTGGCTTCGCCTTTGAAATAGTTTTAAGTGCTGTTATCCTTGATGTTTTGTGAGAATGTTGTGGTCCTACAGCGCAACACTACTATTTGCCGTCATTTACATAAAGCTGCTGTTACCACCAGTCTCCCGGTCCCCCCCTGAGGACAAGACCCCTCAACAGCTCCTGCATACTGGGCATGTGTGCATCAACCAGTTAGTAAGACTTGATCCTGCTATCAAAGTCTGTATCTTGGCAGGCGGAAGCAAATGGTTTCATTTGTATTTTTTTCAGTGGAAAAACTATAAAAAGAATTGGAAATTCTTTTAACACTTGCTGAAATGCCGTCTGAAGTACATACATCTCTATTACACATAAATTGGGAAGAAGGTCACATGGTTTTGGGTAACGTAGGTCAGCAGTCATGAATCCTAAAAAAACCCAAACAACAAACAAAACTTAGAATGCTAATTTGAATAGGGCATAATTTATTTGTTAAATGTGGTTTTTAAAAAATATCTGTAGATGGTTTGATTCATCTGGTCTTTAAAATTACATTTTTCCACGTTATGCCAGATTCAGTACATTCTAAGATAATAACAAAGTCTCTTCTGCCAAACTTCTGAGTGAACTTATGGCAAAATCTAATTGCTGTTTTTAAAAATCATCTACACGCATTACAATGCTGATTTGTCCACTCTTTTAAAAAAAAATTACGGTCTGAACTAATAATGGTTTTTTTAGCTGTCACATCTCGTAAGATTTAAAAAAACAAACAAACACACCCCCCCAAAGAAAAAAAAAAAACAGTACTGTAAATATTTTTGTACCAACCATGAGAAAATGTCATGCAGTTAATGGGTCATCTGAGAACAATACTGAAGTATTTTGTCTTGTAGATCAATTTTTCATGTAATAGAAGGAACAGAAACATTTGGGTTTGCATGTCTTAATACCTGGAATTTTGTAAGTTTTAAGTGGAAAAACTCTGTTTATATTTTAATTCCTTTTTTATCTTAAAAAACAATTACCCAAATTAGATTAAGTATGTGGTGATGTTTTTAGTCATGTTGAGAGAACTGAAAATAATTAAAATACTTTAAATAATTTATTGAAACTAAAGAATGATCTAAGAAAAAGAGAATTTGCAGGACTTAAAAATGTAGATAAATCTTAAGATACATGTGTAAAAGAAACTACAGATAACAAACATGTTGCAGATTATTGTATGATTTCTGAGAGTTGAACCCCATAAATTCAAAAGGAGATCATTCTCAAGCGGAGGAATTTTTGAGCATGGTTCTTTGTTTTCTTTTATTGTCCCTTTTTTAAAAAGAAATGCTTAGCTTTAAAAAAAAATTCATAAACACGTGCAATTTCAGATACTGATTTTTACAACTGATGGGCAAATGCAAGATAGAGCTGATTTATAGCATTCTTTCATAAATCTAGAATTCACTAGAATATGAAATTATGCATTGTAAAGCGACTTCTATTGTATTATTTCAGTCCAACAATGTAAACAAAGATTTTTATTGGTGCTACAAGTAATGTCATTGAGGAAAATAACCATATTGATACAAGCTTCTTTTCAAAACTGATTTTTATTTCATTTTATACTTGTACTACTTTGGAGAGCTTTTTTATAGAATGACATTAAAGTTTATTGCTTGGCACTATCTATTTCTAGTAAGGAAAATAAAGTTTTCTAAGCTGTGTATTTCTATATTGCTTTCTGAATAAAAACTGATTCAAATCTTTTTTTTTTTTTCAGTTAAATGATATACAATTTAATGTGTCTGTTTTCAAAAGTTAATTTTTCCCCCCCCAGAATCATATTTTGGGGACAAAAGTTCTTGTGTAGAAAATGCTAGTACATTGAATCTCACGAGTTCTTCTGTACGAGGCCTGAATAGCACATGCATAGGAAGAACACCCCTCTCTTCTAGTAGATCTGTTTGCAGAAGCCATACCCCTCTTATGGGATATTCAGGTAAGATTAACAGCTCTTAAAGGAAACATTATCTTATTAAACATACTTTAATGTGATACAGTAAGATATTGAAATATATTCAAAACATAATGTGTTTTGTACCACAGAGGATGCCTGCCAATGAAAGATGCACCCATAGGGGAAAGTACTATTGTAGTTACTGAGTAGATGTTTTGATATACAGCCTCTTCTCACTTACTTTGCATTCATGTATAAATTATCAATATAGTTACAATTCAGACTTTTTTCAAATTGTCTAAAATTGAACTATTTTTGTGGACATGTTGGTTTGTGTGGTAACTGAACTGAAGAGCCCAAATTTATGCACATTTCTAATCGGGGTTTCTTTTTAGGTTTGTAATGCATTGTACATCACATATCATGATGTCATTCTCAAGTTTCTTGATGCAAGTTTTATGCGTTTTATGTTGGCATCTTCAAAGGTCTAGAACACTAGTTCTGCAGAAGAACGCTTACGCAGTAGGTCGTTGGGTGTACGTTTTGCAGTGCTTCTTGTGAACAAAGGTGTGTTACAGGGTAATGATGCCTTCTGCCATGTTATGTGTATCTGTGTGCTCTGGTAGCGCGGAAGTAGTGGGATTCAAAGATAGTTCTTTCATGGTCTGACTAATCAGTTCAGTCTTTAGTGTTCTTAAAGTTATTTAATGGTAATTCTCTGAAGCAATTAAATTATTTAAAAATTGATTTTAAAAAAAAAAAATCTATTCCTGGTAAGAATATAAATTGGCTCTCCACTTGCTACTGAATTGAATTACTGTTGCAAGATGTAAGTAATAGGACGTTTGTGATTTCCTACAGCTGTTGTGATGCACAGTTTTCTTTGTGACTACTCCAGGAGTTGGGGAATCAGAGTAACTATGATGTTGAAACCCACAGAGCAGATTTCTCTAGACTTTATGCAACTTAACAATGAAAAAACCCCACATCTTCAGTTTCCTTTGATTTTACGTGTGTGTTGTTTAGCCTGCAGAAAAGGAGGCTGAGGGGAGACCTTATCATTCTCTGCAACTACCTGAAAGGAGGTTGTAGCGTGGTGGGGGTCGGTCTCCTCTTCCAAGTAACCAAGGGATAGGGCAAGAGGAAGAGGCCTCAAGTTGCGCCAGGGGAGGTTTAGCTTGGAGATTAGGAAACATTTCTTCACCCAAAGGGTTATCAAGCATTGGAACAGGCTGGCCAGGGAAGTAGTTGTGTCACCATCCTCGAGGTATTTAAAATACGTGTGGATGTGGTGCGTACGGGACATGGTTTAGTGGTGGACTTGGCAGTGTCAGGTTAACAGTTGGACTCGATGATCTTAAAGCTCTTTTCCAACCTAAACAATTCTATGATTCTATGTTTGTGTGTGTGCATCTATATATTTTTTTATGCTTGCTGTATTGTATGTGACATTCCTTGATCAATCTTTCATCTGAGACAGCGTATGCAGAATATCACATTCTGAAGAATATTGGTTGGTCACTGTGTATTTTTTAGTGTGACAGACTGAAAAACTAACCATCTTCCCAATGAAATTTGTGTAATTACCATACCTGATCTAAAATACTTACTATTATCTTCACCTTTTAGTTGCTTTTAAAAGAAGAGTTAATACTGTGATCAGCTGCTGCTGATGGGCCAGGGGTTGTTCTGAGTAGAAGATTCAGAGTAACAATTACATTTTCAGGAGGCTTCAGATGAAACTTTATGTGAATGCTGTTGCTGACATCTTGTGGCCTACAGAACATAGGTAGAATAAATGAAGGTTCAGACTTGCTTGCGTGCAGCATCAAAGATTTCACTTAGGTGGTAGCCAGCTGCAGTTCAAACAGCCTTTTAGACTTAAGTTCTTAGATAAACTCTGATTCTGATCTTGCCCTTCCAGATTCCTGGTAGGATTAGTTTTGATTCTTGGGGTACAATTTGAGTTTACTCAGAAGAAAATGGCAGGTTTGGTGTATTATGCCTTCTCAGCAGGATCGTTCTGTTTTGAGACCACTCTTATTCCTTTGCTTTTTGAGAGCAAATTCTGTGAAGAACAAGGGAAGGTAATGGTGGAAAAGAACGTAAGTAATCACTATGAAGCAGGTAGAGTTTATTGGTGTTTCAGATCAGTAAATATGTCTATGCTATCAAAATCCAATACTATGTAGATGTTTTTGAAAGTGTAAATGGGGCATGCCTTTTATATGCAAGTATTTTTCTTACTTTGAATACTTTAGACTTAATTGTTATTTCATAATGGTATCTCTTCTGAACCTTTAAGTGAATTCAAGAAGGATTAAGCGAAGAATCTGTCCAATTCAGCCATTATAAGTTGGGGAAAGTGGGAGGGTCAGCTCATTTTGCCCAACTTCTTATCCCCTCAGTTCTGGTTGCAGATGATACCTCATCTCTGAGACCATCCTGTTGGCTCACAGCTTAGGTTTTAGGCACTGAAACAGTAGTGCTAGAAGACAGTTGGTTTTTAACTTGGTGCTATTTAAAGTTCAGTACTGTATGAAGTGGTGTTGGGGGGGAGTGAGATGAAGGAATGCATCGAAATTTGTCTCCTGTCAACTACGCTGCAATAAACCATAGTTGAACACAAAATAGCCCCATTTTTGAAATTAGCTATTTGGATCTGAATTACATGAGATTAGGAATCATAGTCTGTAGAGTTCAGTTTAGGAATAAACATGAGGTTTATTGTAGGTCTATAGTACAATCCCAAAGTAGATTTGCTGTGTTATGTTGGGCAAATTGGTAGAGCAGCTGGGTTGGTGGTTTTATCTACATGGGGAAAAAAAGAGACTAGATAAGAAAATGAAGTTTAGGGTCTTCAGAAAGGAAGACATTAGGTGTTAAGGAGCTGTAATCTTAATTTTCATACTTAATCTTTGTAAGGGGTGTCTTGGAGATGTAGCTGGATATTTGAAGGAAGAGATGAGATTAGTTGAGTTTGTGATGATATTTAGGAAAATTTAAGCCAAACCAATTTTAAGATACTAAAAATGTCTTTTAAAAAAATCACTAAAATGAAAATCAAATTATTGGGTCTCAAGTGTACTGTAGAGAGAGAGAGAGAGATATTTTAGACTAGTTTAATGAGTTTAGCATAAAATCAGATGAAATGTATATATAGAGCTATATAAAAGACATTTGTTTCCCCTAACTTGATGAGATCTAAGCCATCTTGATCAGAGTTGCGCTTTTAGTGGAATATTAACTTACAGTATCTCTCTGCAATTAATACACCTGATTTTAACTAGCAGTAATAGCTATGCATCATGTTTAATTTAAAATGGCAAATGTTTAATAATAGCCATGCCTTTTGGCATGCCCTAAGCATCTTTTTTGTTTAGTACAGAGACAGTGACTCAGAAACTGTATTTTCATTTGCTACAGAAATGTGATTAGTTCTGACAATCTTAAATGAATGGATTCAGTCACTCTTTTAATGTAAGAGTGTAATGTTCATACTTCGCAAAGTGTGCCTTATCTGTATGGTATGGCAACTAAGGAGTTCAACAACCAGGATTTTTAGTTTTTAACTAAGTTTGGTAAATTGAAAGGGCTTTCCATGGATATGGGAATGTAAACACGTATTTCACTTGGAATGTCAAAGTATGATTCTGTGAATGTAAAGTAGTGGCTTGTAACTGAATATATGCATCTGTTTTACAGTTACATCCTCATCTGCAGTCTCTGCTCATACTGTTGCATCGGTTATTGTAGCTGTAGTAGAAGGAAGAGGCCTTGCCAGAGGTGAAGTAGGAATGGCCAGTATTGACTTAAAAAATCCTGAGGTGATATTATCACAGTTTGCAGACAATACAACTTATGCCAAGGTATTGTTGCATACTTAATTGCTATATCCCTTAGAGGCTAATTATTGTAACTTTCTTTCTTAAAAAAAGCTTATGACTAATGGGAAATTAAAGTTTTAGTTTGTAGAAGAAATTTCTCAAAAGTGAAAGTAACAAGTTCTAGAAAATGTGCAATGTTGAAAGGACTGCTATTTTCTTTACTGTTCCTCAGATTTTAGATAAAGAGGAAAGAATGTTTTGCAAAAGAAAAACAGCCTTTCTGCAAAAAATAGCGTGTTTAAACTATGTGGGAGTGAGATGCCTTGGTTTGAAGAGCATTGGGCGACACATGGTAGTAGAACTTGCAAATATTTTTCATCAGTCAAAACAACTCTTGAGAGCAGAACTGCATAAATATGTGTGTGTGAGCAGCGGGGGGGGTTGGGTAGCTGTAGGGCTGGCTTTCTATGGTTGCATAAATATTCCTTCTCAGTTAGTTTGAAATGAAATTCACTCAATTTACAGCCAAGTGTTCTGCCTACAAGCACTGCATGCTCTACGTTAATTTGGAGAGTAATCTCTGGTTTATGCAACACCAGTATTAATAAAACATCTTTTTAAATGGTTTTGTTACAGTTACGCATGTACTTAAAATATAGTCTGTTTTTTCATGTTTCTCCCTTGAGAATTTGTGGATGATGATATAAAGGAATATAAATGCATAATGACGTTTGTCCTTTCTTATACAATAAACAAATAGAAAAGCATATAGTGTACTTTAAATCCCTACAGCAGGTGTGTATAACATAATCAAAGCAAAGCTGGTTTAAATATGCACATTTTGATCCATATTGAAAAAGATAAGGCTGAGATAAATGTCAGAACGGGAGGTTAGAACAAAGTCTAAACCAAGTCTCAATCAAAAGATTATTAATATTCAGACCTGTTGCATTTCTTCATCTTCCAGAGCACCATTAACTTTTCAGCTGCAAGCCCAGAAAGCTGCCATCTGTTGAAAATAAGTCCTTCTCCCATCATAGCCCTGGAATGTAGTTTTGGATATTTACCCCTTGCTTCAATGACAAGCATGTTTCTGTGTTCAAATGACAGGGCATAGATACCTCTTTTTTTTTAAATTTAGTTTCATGTATATTTATATATCTGTATCTATAGATACAGTTAAATTTGACTCATTAGTGTAGAAGTTAGCAGAAAATTTGGTCTTTATTTACAAGACTGGAACTGTGATTTTAAAATACAAGGATTCTGTAATTCTGTATTGCTGGTTCATTATTGTGTCAAAATATTTTACATTATATATGGATTTTTATTGAATTATTTTGAATTTTTTTGTTCAGGTTATTACTAAACTCAAGATTTTAACACCACTAGAAATAATAATGTCAAACACTGCTTGTGATGCAGGGAACACGACAAAATTGTTCAGTCTGATAACAGAACATTTCAAGGTAAGCTCTTAAATTTCATTCCGTATTTTGGAGTTCTTGTTGATCACTTTTATGTGATTGTTGATTTAAGAGTTTTTCACAACTTCTAAAACCTTAAACGCAGTCAGATTTTGTGTTTTCTATGATTTTGGGGCCTAATTTTACCATGGTAAAGAATAATCTAAATGCAGCTCCAACACTGCTAGTTCTAATCCTGACAATTACAGAGATAAGTATATTACTGATTAAAGCCAAAAGTTTTGAATTTGTGGCATTGAAGTAATTTGAGCAATACTGAACTAGGAAAGATTCAGAGATGAAAAAATCAAGCATTTTCCTTTGCTCCTTTGTTCTCTCAACGTGATAAATATTTGGGGCTAATGTATCATGGAATAGGAAAAAGAGCACTGTCAGGGTAAAAGGGGGTGAGATGAACTAGTATATGTAATTTATGAGTATTAAAGCCTCAGAACTTTTAAAAAGTTGTATTAATTACTATTTGAATTGTTTCTATGTCTACACTGCTGATGGCTTCTTTACGAGTCCTCTTTTACTTCCTGACCTCTCTCTCTTTTTCTTGCATAAATCACTCGTGCATCGCATGCATTCAGTTACATTCACCTGCATATCTTTATTCCCTATTTACCATTGAAGGCTTGACATTGATCCCTTGGGCTTAAACCTTGGCAAGGGAAAACTACAGTTCAAATGTGAGCATCGATGCTAGCATGAAAATAACTCTTCCTGAAAAGTCATTAATTTTAACCAAATCCAGGTTAAATTAAAAATTTGGAGTAGCTAGTTCTTGAGAGGAAAAGCAATATTCAAGAAAAAGCCTATGTTAATTTGCTCAAAGCAGTAGTATGAGCCTTTTTATATGTACTACCAGAGAGAAGGAAAGATGAGTGACAATAGTGTGGCTTGCTTGTGCTAATAAGCTAAAATGAATAATTCTGCAAAGGCAGATTGCTGAATCAGTTGATAGATTTTCGTGGAAACACATTTCACTAGAAAAATGGAGAAGTCTGATGAAAAATTCTCTGTAACTTTTTAAACTATTTGCTTTTCCCCCCGTCTTCACAGAATGTGACTTTTACAACTGTCCAGAGAAAATACTTCAATGAAACAAAGGGTTTGGAATACATAGAACAACTGTGTGCATCTGAATTCAGCACCATTTTCATGGAGGTTCAATCAAAGTATGTTTAAATAAGGAAAAAGCATACTGTGTCCAGATAAGTTTTTAACAGCTTTTTACGTACTTAGTACACAAGTCCGTGGCTTGTTGCAAAAGTTAGAAAATCGTAACAGAGCTGTTCTTTTATTTTGCCCTCCAGTGTTTCTGATATATCTAGAAACTTAAATAGAAAGCCTGTTAGAGATTTTTTTTTTTTTGAGTTTTCACAGCTTTCTACTTTCTCCTTTTCATTCTTTCCTTAAAGATACAATTTAACAGCTATGACTGCCTTTCCTTCTGGCCTCAGCAAATGTTTTCCTTGTACCAGCAATTTTAAGTAGTGATACTTGGTGACCTGGGTCTTTGTTTTCATACTAAAAGATGTATGTTCACAATAGCAGCTATACAGTGTGGGATGTCAAGTGTACAGAGACTCAAACATTCATGAATATTTGATTTATATGCATATATGTGCACTATACATGGGTTAGCGCATACTTAAAACATACTGCTTTTTCAGTGCTATCAATCCCAGTAGTTGTCAAGCAGAAGTATGAATGTGATTTCTGTAGTGGCACTGCTTGGTTTTGTGGTATTTAAATAGTGCTATTCAACGTTCATTAAAGATTGTTTCTTTCCAAGGTACTACTGTCTTGCAGCTGCTGCAGCTTTGCTAAAATATGTTGAATTTATTCAAAATTCAGTTTATGCTCCTAAATCGCTCAAAGTGTGTTTCCAGGGGAGTGAGAAAACAGCTATGATAGATTCATCATCAGCACAGAATCTTGAACTAGTAATTAATAACAGAGATTCTCGGTAAGAATATTTAAGTTTACAAATTACCCTTTTATAAAGTTGTATTTCACCAAGTTTCCTTGACGTTTGTGTCAAAGAGCTGACCATTGTATTTATTTCTGTACGACAGAACTTATATACCCTTCAGAGCTTTTAAAAAAATATTTGGACAGAGAAATGCATTACAATTTAGCATAAAATTTCTAGCGTAGGAAATCCTACAAGTGAACTGCGGGAAGAGATGATACATAGTCATCTTTACATTGATGTCTATATTTTATTCAAACTTATAAATGATGTTGATGCAGAATTGCACAGATTGTGAAATGAAAGAGGCAACATTCCCACAAGAAGTTGCTTATGTTGGATTTGAATGCCTAGGTTTTATTCATTTTACACAAGATAAACACTCCAGGCTTGAAAGGTTTTTTTGTTTTCCTTTCGCTCTAAGGAATAGTAGCAAACAAAGTAATTTCTATAATGATGGTCATGTGCAATGTGGTACTTGATTGCATGGTAGCTCTCCACAATGAGAACAATGCTTGGAGTACTTCCTTTACCAGGAGTTACTTGGCTTTTAGGCAGAAGAAGCTGCAAGACTTACCTTCTCAAGACTGTTATGCTTCTGGTTAGAAAGAGAAAGACTTGGAACTTGCGCTCTGCTGCCTGCCAAGTTCTGAGATCCACCTCTGTTTAGAAGTCCACTCATCACCCTGATATAAAAAGGGGAGCCTGGAGATTCTTCACTCTCCAAGTATTACTCATAAGAGCTTTTCACTTGGAGAGATGTCATAGAATCATAGAATGGCTTGGATTGGAAGGGACCTTTAAAGATCATCTAGTTCCAACCTCCCTGCTGTGGGCAGGGACATCTTTGACTGATCAGTCATCCTTACCCTTCTGCCACTACTCTTTTTTTTTCTTTCCTTTTTTTTTTTAAATTTTTGTGGGGATCGGAGAGTACACAGTTAGATCTGTTCTTCAGAAGTGGGAGGTAACTATAGTTTCTTTCTGTTCATCTGTCATGATGTCACTCTGCCCCCAGTTCCTTCTTGCTTGCTCCGTTGCTTCACACGTAACTGCAGGAGCCAGCCACTCTTAAGATTGGTACCCTCAGAGCAATATATCTCTGAAAGCTGCTCCTAATTCCACAGATGGTTTTGAGAGGAAGGAAGTCACAGGAGGAACTGAGCAACAGTAAACTGCTTTATGGTTCTCTTTTTTTTTAGCATTATTGCTGCCGAGTTTTTGCTGACCCAGTGGCAAGTTGGAACCAGGCCACGCACAGCTATTTCCATTACCTAGATCTTACCCTAAAGCCTGATTAGGTATCTTTGTATCGGATATTAACAGGTAGAAGTTAATAGTACAGGCACACACCAGAAATACGTAAGCCAAGTTCTTGTGCCAGTATTAATTCTGGCGGGGCTTTTCTCTTTTCATTTGCTGTACAAGGAACTGAGCCCTCAGTTGCTTAAAGGTAGGCAGTGTGGATACTATCCCAAGTGTAGAGTTCCCCTTAAGTGTTTTCATGAGTTGCATCTTAGGATAAATAATAAAACTGGTTTTGAATTTCTCCCTTTTTTAACTCTCTTGACTATTGCTTTGTTCTTTTATACCATGGTATTTCAGGAGGTTCTGTACCATCTATCTATCTATCTTTATGCTGTTTGCTTTGTATACTTGTATCAGATTTCTTCCTGTTCAGGTTCTGATCTCAATCAATATGTTTCTATGGCCCCAGTGTTTTCATTGGCCTTCTTTCAAGCCAATAGCATTGAAGGTTTCAGGTTTCTAAAACTGTTTAGGTATGTACTAGATGTAAATATTATAGGCTGTTTATTTTAAACAGATACAATCAACCCTTGAGTGTGTGACCCTGGGAAATGTAACGTGTAAAAGCCATGAACATGAAAATAATATTTATGAATCATAAGCATGTTATTTGGCTCCTGTATGGACTGTAAATCAGTTCTTTAAAAAAAGTAAAATCAAAGCTTATTTCTGTCTTGGACTTGTAAGTATTTTAAATCATTTTCAGAAATGTGTTTTAATGAAAATGTTCTGATTAGTATTTGATCTCAGATTATAATTTGTCTCCTTTTGTAGGGTTAGTTTGTTTGTTTTTAATTAGTTCAGAGAGGGAAAATGTGAACTGCACCACTGCAGTAGGAATGGAATACTACTACAAAAAAATGAGGAAAATACTGAGTACAAATGTATTTCTATACTTTGGAAAATTATATCATGAGGGCTAATATTATATTAAATTACATTAAATTACCTGACTTCCTAAACTGCTGTAGTTCATATAATATACATGGCAAATAGGGGTGCTAAGCATCCCAAAAGCAGGCCTCAAATTTGGGATACTCTTACTTGAAAATGCCGCTTGACATTTACCATCTTTATTTTTGTGAGTGTATTCTTTGCATGTATTTTGTTTTATCAAAGGAATGGTCACACGCTTTTTGGTGTCCTAAATTACACTAAAACTCCGGGTGGAAGTCGAAGACTTAGATCCAATATCCTGGAGCCACTAGTTGATGCCGAAACGATTAACACGAGACTGGACTGTGTTCAGGAATTACTCCAGGATGAGGAGCTCTTTTTTGGTCTTCAAGCAGGTAGTAGTTTATATTTAATACATAGTGTATTTCTTTTTAAACATTTTTTCTAATCTATGAAAGTACGCAGTGTGATTCAATATGTTTTAAAAGTATTTTTTTAATGATTTGTCAGGTGACACATATAGTGGACACTTAATTTTTTGAAGTAATCTTTATTATGATAGTGATATTTTTCTCAAGTATTTTGCTAGGAAAAGTGAATTTCTCTGATAAAGTGGTTAGAAGTCAGTGAGCCAATAGCTTTTTTGAAGAATTTGTCTCTTTACCTCTATGGCCAGATACACACTATGTTGGAAGTATACAAGTATACATAATGTATACATAATGTATACATTAAAAACAAATAAAGACATCGCTGATGTAATACTTGCTGTGTATGCATATTTTTTTCCATTGCTTCATGAAACATAGTGGTCCAGACATGTAAAAAAAAAAATATACAATACCAGAGTGTGAGTTAGTCCACCTAAAGTTGGATCATGTAATTTTAATCTTTATCACAAGAGAAATATGATTCAGTCTAACAAAAGAATATTGCTGAATTGATATATGTCCACCTGTACAATAATCACTACATGCTTAGGTACAGTAAGTATAGTTATGACAAAATAATTTAGATAGCAGTTATTTTTAACCTGTTTTTTTCCCTAGTAAATAATTTGTGAAGATAGAATGAAAGAAAAAGATTAGCATAAGTATCACTATGTAATTGTGTGCATTTAAAAAAAACAGGCTTTATTACAATTTCAGTTCAATTTCTGATCTGTTTACTTTTGTTTTACAGTTATCTCAAAATTCCTGGATACAGAACAACTACTTTCAGTTTTGGTACAAATTCCGAAGCAGGATACGGTATGTTTCGAAATACGCCTTAGATGATCAGTTATCTGGCTATAACATGCAATATATAAATGTGATATCTATAAATATGCATAATACGATAAGAAAAAGACTGCACCTTAAAAAGACATGGAATAATGTTATCGTAGGTTGAGAGTGTATCTTATCTTACAGCACTAGAAGATTCTCATAGGAGAATGTTAGGAAGATTTGGGTTCGTTTCAATATCACATTCATCTTAATTTATGCAAATTGACTTCCAAAACTTTACTTTTTCATCACTCCCCACCTTTATTCTTCGTAAGTGTACATTCGACAGTACTAGAGTGAGAGAGAGGAATTATCTTCACATCAGCATAAAAGGAAAAAGTGTCTAACAGAAATTTACTGTCATATTTTTGGAGGTTAATACAATTTTTGCTAGCCTAAAGAGAATTAAGCATCTTCCTTACTAGAAAGTAAATAATTTCTTAGTTTTCATGTAATATAAATCAATAGAAATTAGTCTTTATTGCCTGAAAAATTATTTTGAAAAAGGTTCTTAAGAAGCACTTTCACTTTGCTCAGCTGTGTTTACAATACAGATGAACTTAAATCTGTGTTCAATTACTAAGTCAATCATGTAAAACATACAAAGCCATGGATACATGGGACTTACCTGTTAGTTTCCAAGACATAGACATTGTATGAGCTAAGTGCAACTTTTTCATGCGGGAGTTAAGTGTTTCTTCTGAACAGCAACCAGCTGACAGAAAACAATACACTCACTTGCACAGCATAAGCAGTACCAAATGAGGCAGAAGTTTCCCTTACACTGACTGTTCTCGTAAGCAGAGAACCTTATGTCTCAAGCACACAGAGAGAGATATCTAGGTTATGAATGATGTCTAGAAGTCCGTTCTGTATCCAATTCTCAACTTGACCCATGCTTCTCTGTTAACCCTTGAATGCAAGGAATAAGTAATGTATTGGAGAATTGATTACTTTTAAGTTTTCTCAGGGTCCTGTCTTATGGATTAAAGAGTGCCCTGCTCTTATCTGTTACCTTAAATCACACATCTTACAAGGTGGACCAAAATGAAATGCAGATAAAAGCATTTATTCATAAAAGCATAACTAGACAATAAAGCTATAAATGCTTACAACAACATAGTTTAGTTGAAAGACAAGCAATACTTTATCTGCTTATGGTAAGGCTTTTTTTTGGTATTTTATCCCTTATCCGCTTGACAGTGGCAGCCATGGTTTCAGTCTGTGTGAGTACCTTATGCCTCATGTTTCATCCATTAGAGTGCATTCAGGAACTTGACCAATAGAGAAAGCTTCCATCACAGATCATTTTGGGAGAATTACTGAATATACCTTCAGATTCAAGTTCCTTAGAACCCCTCTTTCCTCCTCAGTATTTATAGCGAATTCCGCCTTTGAAGTCTTTTAGGAGCTCAAGACAGATAGAATCTTCTGCCTTGAAAATCACGTTTTTAACCAGGAGATAGTTGTGATTAATTAAACTGAGGTTTCTCTTCCTTCAGTGTGCCAATGTGTCTTTGTTAGACTGGAGGTCAGCTCCTGTTCTTAACTAGTTTGTAAACAAAAATTGCTGAAGGGGGTATAAAAGCTTTCTCCCTCCTAGCGACTATTAACATGTTTCAAAGAAAGATTATTTTTTTCATCAGACCTTGCCTCGTATATCAATCTGTACATTAACACATGCAATACAAATATCAAAACAGGATAAATACATGTAGCTTACTACTGGATCTTAGATTGAGACCGGACACGACAGTTAACTACAGTGAGCTTGAGATAACTGAACCTTAACATTTTTCTACTAAGCATATTGTAACAATTCCATTATAAGTTACATTTGCGTACAGTACTTGAGCAGGGTATTTCTGCCAATGCTTTTGAGACTTGCGCTTGCCTGTCTTCATGCTGGTATGCCAGCATCATGGATATTTACAGTTCTTTCACCTCTCCGTGTCTTCTCACATGCTGACTTACCTGCTTAGATAAATGACTTCTCTAATGCCAGTTAGAGAAATCAGGTACAGACTCCAGCAGGACTGTAATAAATGCAGATAAATCTCTTTAATGACATATCCAAAAAGCTGAATGTTTATTGCTCCCAGCTTTCCTTGTAGAGATTGGTAACATGAATGAAAGATCAGCTGTATGACTAAAACTGTCAGACTGGATGCCTTTATGTGTACATAAAACCATGTACACCAAACTTTTAACCGCAGTGCTTTCAATCTTGACTGGCTCCAATATAGCAGAACATACTATTCATGCAACAGACATGTTCATTCAAGTACTAACTCAGTTGCTTTTATCAAATGCTAGATTAACCCGTTCAGTGTGTTCCATTCCCACTCTCCATAAAAATTTTCATTGCAAAATGTTCCACCAGTCAAGAGATGAGGAGGTGCTCGCCTGAAAAGCCTACACTTTCAATCACTAGAAATGTGAGTGGTATGTTCGACGTGAGCATCACTGACAATCTTGCTGAGATACGTTACTTGAAAAATCATGTCATCGGTGAAATCAAGTACTTCCTCTTATGGAATCTGCATATAGAAGCAAATTAAACATATCTGGACAAAAAAAAAAAAAAAAAAAAAGAGATTTCCTTAAAAGACCCTCTTGTCTCATGAAGGATGAGTCATGAAGGATCCTTAGAAGTTGGATCAACATCCAACTTTTGGTGGAAATGAGGACCACCTGCTCTGGATTACTTGGTCACCCATCTGAAGAACAAATTCAATAGATTCTGTGCCTGTTGAAGTTCCAGGCATGTGACAGATTGATTCCTTCTCTCACAGGCAGAAGGCACCAGTATTTTCGGTTTAAATGAATTTCCAAGAAATAACAAAAGTTAAACTAGGGCTGATCCACTGACATAGCACTTAAATCTGTAGGACTTAAGTCTCTAGCATAAAAACAAAGTCAAATGTTTCTTTGAATCGTCATGCTTTACATATCAGAGTGACTGTGGACAAATTAATTTCAGATGCTGTAAAGGATAGGCTTGCATTTTAGTCATTAATGAATCATAAAGAGGTAACATTATATAGAAGAGTTATCGACTATAGTTGTATTCATTCATTTTCTCCCTTTGACTCTAAAGTGCAGCATGTACAAAGATCCACTTTTAACACCAGTTCAGTTCAAGTTCCTATAAGAAATATTTTAGCAAAGGTACATTCCATTACAAAATACCAACTCTTCACGTATGACTGTATCTGTCGTTTTGATGTCTGATTCCATCATGGGACTTAGACCCCATATTTATTTGCAGATAATGATTCCTCCGTTCGTACATTTAGCATTGTTTAGTCCTATCTTTTGCAGAAAACAGCTTTATATAGGAGGTAAGATAAGGCAAGAGATGCCCTCTACCACAAGAGTAAAAAGTTATTAATACGAACGAGAAAAGATTTCACATGGGGTCATACTCCTGTGTTCATGTTGAAAACTGACACTAGATTTTCCTTGGAATCAAACAATGGGCTTATCTGTTGGTTTCTTAAAATCCTCTCACACAGTGCATATGTACTGTATATGCTATGCAGCACATATGCTATGCCCTAATACCAACAGCAAAATTCTTTATCATAAATGTTAATGGGGCATACAAAACAATGTAGAATGTGTCTGTGGACAAAACATTGTGAAGAGCAGTCATTATTGTAAGCAGAATTTTTAAACATTTACTGGATTATTTTTTTTTTTAAATTACATGAGCAGATGTTTAAGGATATAAATATATTAACCAAAGATAAGTCAACCAAATTGGGTTATGTTGTGTTTAACAACATTTATGAAAAGGGCTATGCTTCTTAATTATAATGCATAATGTATTCGCTTTGAAAGAGTCTACGAGCTATCTAGAGCTTGTATAGAGCTATTTATACGTAGAAGATTAAAAGAAGTTTTCACGGCTTGGGTTACCAGAGTGTTCTCAGAGTCAATCATTATCAGTGCAGACATATGAAAATACTAGCTAGTGATGGGCAAACTATCACAGTAGGCAATGTAAAATTTAGGTAAACTTTTTTTTATGCAGTTATACTTCGAGTTGTCAAAGCTTATGAGCTTATAAAGTATTTTAGCAATTTTCATTAAAAGTGTAAACCTGTTACAATTAACAGTATGAGTTCTGCTAGTTCCAAGTACTTTTTTAAACAGGCAGACATACAAACACCTCCAATATTTGTAAAATTTTTTCAACAGGTTAAAACTGCCGAATCAAAAATAACTAATTTAATCTACCTGAAGCATACTCTAGAACTTGTGGAGCCTCTAAAAGTAAGCTGTCTCTATAATTTTTTTTTTTATAAAGTACAGACTGTTTTGTCCTTATTTTTATACAGTGCAGTTTGTTAAATTCCATAGAATATAGAATAGAACATCTCAAGTTGGAAGGGACCAATAAGGATCATCAAGTCCACAAAAAAAAATTTACTTTATATTTTGCAGAACGCAATACTACCAAGATAGTCTGTTAATTCTTAAGCCAGTTGAAAATATGCATTTGAGTCTAATACTCTGAAGAACTGGATTCCCACCATTACCTGAATAATTGCTTTTATAACAAACATTTAACTGAAACTCCTGCTCAGATTCCATAAGCTGCTTATGCAACCGCTAATAAGCCTCAGTGAATCTAAGAACTTTCAGTCCTTTAAAAGGGCTACAGAAAGAAGTAACTGTTGATGTCCATATTTTAATCTTCAACAGGCTGCTTTAAGAAGCTGTAACACACCTCTGCTAAAGGCTTATTACAATTCTCTTGAAGATACAAGGTATTTATCATAATACTTTAGCTAGTGTGTTAGAAACTCTCATCTTTCTTAAGAATGTCTGTAAAATTAAAGATTTTACATCTTTGCTTATTTGTAGCTACAGGTACAGCTCAATTTTTTTGCCTAAAAGCTGGTTTTAATTGTCAAAAATTCTAATTTTCAACTAACAAGCAAATACGGGGAAAAAAGGAGAACAAAAAGTTAGCTATGATACTGCACTTGCTGATGAACGGCACTCCATTAGAAATAATTCTGAAAAGACAGAAGTAGTGGTTTCCTAGAGTCCCCATAATAATGCAAAAATCAACTGTTGCCTGTATATTTGAGAAATAATGTATATCTCCCAAAGATTTGAATGGTATCTTTGGTCAGACTTGGGTATAGTCATGTTTCATTCTGAGGCAAAAAATAGACATGAAATTTAGTGCTTGGTTTTAACAAGTAGATAATTTGCTTCAGTTATTTGTAATACTCTTATTTGTAATTTTGGGACAATATTGCAAATAAAAATTGTAAAGTATTATGTAGCTAATTAGCAATACAACTAATATTGCAGATTCGGAATTATACTTGAAAAGATTACAACTGTAATTAATGACGATACAAGGTACACAAAGGGATGTCTGAGTATGAGGACCCAAAAATGCTATGCTGTTAAGCCTAACATCAACGAATTCCTTGACATAGCTCGTAGAACATACACAGAAATTGTTGATGACATAGCAGGTATTTCTAAACCAAGATTTTTATTTATTTGGAGTTCAAAGTACTTTGCACGTGGCATATAGAAGCCATGTAATCATACGTATTCTAAAGTTCTCCTATGTAAAAAGTATTTTTTTCGAGTATTATTATAAACTGATTATCATTGATAAGTAACTGAAGTACTTTTGAGATACATATCGAGATTCTCCTTTTGTAGATAAAAATTCAGTTTTATTTTGATGAAGTTGAACAATTACATTGTGATTCCTGTATTTAAAACTGTTGCTCCTTGTCCTCTAAAAGTACAAAAAAGTTAATGTAACAGAATTATTCCAACCAAAACATTCTGCATAAAACATGTAAATCTTTGTTTTAGCTTCTTGAATTAAAATATTAAAATATTTTTGTTCTTTATATTTTAAGCAGTCTGTGGACTACTTTTTAGCCAAGCTATTAAGAGTTCAAAAATACGAACAAAAGGAATTTTAGCATAATATCTGTTTACTGTGCTTTAATAACCTTCCTGTTTATCATTAAGTCAAAATAGAAGAAAAAAAATTATTTTCTGGAATGGATCTCCTTTTTTTTAGTATAAAATGTTGATTTCTAGCTAAAGGACCACGTTCTTAGTTTACTATGTAATTGGAAACTTAAAAGAGCGTCAGAAACTTTATTATCTGTCATATGTTGTAAGCTTCTTGTTTCCTTCTAGTCTTACATTCTCCATAGTACACAGTGAAAAGTACAAACGCTATTGTTTTTTATTTCCTAAACCTTCCAAAATTTGGTAGCTGCTATGATTCCAGAATATGTGAACAGATGTGTTCCCCTTTCCCGTTTTCACTGTAGCCCACATGCTTGCAGAAGGGATTCTTCTCTCTTCCTCTTTACTGGATTAAACTCTTAGGTGACAAAATACTGATATCGTCTACCTGGACTTCTCTAAGGCCTTTGATATGGTCTTCCACAACATGCTTGTTGCTAAACTGGAGAGAGATGGGTTTGACGGATGGACTAAGGAATGAGAGTGGATATGAGATGGATAAGGAATTGGCTGGATATCCGCATTCAAAGATTGCGGTTACAGTCAATGGCTCAATGTCCAAGTG